TACATATTAATATAATAATGAAATAATAAGATTATAAATAGTGGTAAATTCCACTTGTTTACAATAGGAGGGAGTATTTAATATTCTCACGTCCGTTCATGAGAGTGCGGGCTATTTTCCTCAAAAATAGTTGACGCAAATAATGAAATAACCGAACAGAATATAAAAAGGTTTTATTTCCTCGGGTCGTCATCCTCCTCGAAACCCTAATGAAAATCCCAAGCATCATCAGCAGCACAGCTGGTTCCGTCAAGTTTTCCGATCAGCCTTACCAGTTTCATCTATATTGTGTCTTACAGTACCAGTAATTGTCTGCAACTGCGGTCAGAGGAAAATTGTTTATTCTTTCCTATAGATGGACGGTAGTTCTGCGGGCGGCGGCGGCGGCGGCGGCGGAGGCGGAGGTAATGATGTGGAACTTCTGTGCAAGACGCTTCAGGTTGAGCACAAGCTATTCTACTTCGACCTCAAAGAGAATCCCCGTGGGCGCTACCTTAAGATCTCTGAGAAAACCTCGGCGACCAGGTCAACCATCATAGTGCCCTCCAATGGCGTCGCCTGGTTCCTCGATCTCTTCAATTACTATGTCAATTCCGACGAACAGGACGTTTTCAGCAAAGAACTCCAGCTCGATACCAAGGCACTCTTTTACACTTAAAGCTTATTGTTCCCATTTGCACCTTTTTTTCTTTTGATATGGAATCTTTTATCTTTTCACTTCCTGCTTTAATTATATCTTAAAATCCGCTTGCAGGTGTTCTATTTTGATGTTGGAGAGAACAGAAGGGGACGCTTTCTCAAAGTAAAATTTCTGCATTCTTTTTGTTTGTTTCATATTATTTGTCATCTCACTTCTCTGTTGTGTGTATGAATTATCAGCACCTATTTACTTGTGAGTTTCAGTTATCTTCATTCATAAAGTTCTAGTTTCGAGTTGCCAGTATTATGTAAGTGCAGGGTTGAAATTCTAGGATGTCGTACCATTCTAATATTCAGTATGGTACTTTGTGCTGGGTGCAGCACCTTGATCTAACACCTCAATAGCAGTCAGATGCAACTCTTAAAAACTGCTTGTAGGAAACAGCCACAAAGTATTCTAAAGCTGGGTTATAGAACTAATGCGGATTTCAACAAACCTCGTGATATATTACACGGCTCCGATAAATAATCTCTATCCATTTTCAATTCTGAATGAATGCTATTCTGATCATAGTATCTAATCCATCCCTTAGATCAATTTGTAATGAAGATTGGATGGTTGTTTTCATTTCATAAGAAATGAGGGTGCTCCATTTTCTTATTTGATATATAGATAGCATACTAATCAAACATCTAGTCTTCCCTCTGATCCATATGCATCCAAAGATTGAATGATCTTTTCTCTTCAAGGTCACTAAAGCTGGATACCTTTCCATTAAAAAATTTTCATCTCAATGGAAACAGGAAAACTTACACTATTCATTCATGTTCTCTTTTGCTCCCACCAACCACTTCAACTCATTTTTAAATTAAAAACATTCTAATTGTTATGCATTTTTCAATAGATTTCATTATTCATCTATTGACGTATCTCATTTCCATTGTCACTATGAAAATTTTTTCTCATCTATTAAAAAGAATCTAGATGAAAGTGTATCCAATCACTCAAAGTTTTCTAAATTGATATAATATTAAGTTGTTCTTACCCAATTGCATAATTTTAGTTTGCATATGAAAACTGGTTGATCTTTAAAAGTTCAAAAGATGTCAATATTGTCCAATAGATTAGATTAGAGCTTGTTTGAAGATATGATGATCTTTTCCGTACAAAGTAAATCTCTAGGAACCTCCGGTAGGAATTATGCCCTTACCTCTTAAAATAATTTTAGTTATAACTTTAGTAAGAAAACGTAAAATCATTAATCCTCAGTTTACCATGACAAAAGTACTCCAATAGCTGTGGCACGTCATATATGATGTCACGTTAAGCGCACCGCACAAGGAATAACAAAATGTCAAATTTGTTGTTTATTTTCAATGTGAAGGATTGCGTTTAAGTCATCCAAAGTACGCTAAACCGATGGTGGAAAAAATGATTTCGCGATACGGCTAGTGGATGATATTTGCTTTGGTTAAGAGGATATTATTACCAAGCCTTGCTGCCTTAGTATCAAGGATTCTTTGTAGTCAATTATCATATTTTGTCCTTTGTTTATACGTAAAACCGATGGTGGGATTTTGTATAATGTTTTTGTTATGAAATCTCAGCAAATCTTAAAAAGTCTTAGTAAATCTCAGTGCCAAATAAGTAAATACCTCGTGATTTGTCAAGACTTTTTGAAATCTCAAATGATAGCTCAGGAATTTTATAAGTTTTAAAAAATCCAAATTAAATATACTAGGATTCTTAAAGTCCCAGCAGATCCCCCCTTAATTTCGTGGTGCCGCCATTGCTAGGAGTAGACAAGCATTTATGTTCATTATTTGGATCAGATGTACGAAAGGGATGAATGGTTTCTTTATAGAGTCATCTTCTAATTTAAGCTTTCTGTTTTTATTCTTCAAAATAAGTTGCATCCCAAAGAATATAATTCATCTTTTAGATTCGTCCATCAGATATCTGAAGCTTCGGTCAGCCGCAACCGCAGCACTATCATTGTCCCTGCGGGAAGTGCTCGAGATGAAGGGTGGGCAGCCTTTAGGAATATTTTGGCTGAAATAAATGAAGCGTCGGGGCTTTTCATCCTGCCCAATCAGGTAATTCGGAAAACTACTCTCTTGTTGTTCGCCCCCTTCGTATTTTTTGAGGCGCCTTAGAAAGCAACCCTCATATACTGCTGTTTGTGTGTAAGCATGAGCAGAACTCTGAAGCCCCAGACCGCCTAGTCGGGCTCTCAGATGATGTTGGAGCTGGTTTTATATCCAGCCATAGTTCTCAACCAAACTCAACTGCTGACTTGAATGTTGACCGTTCTTCTGATTTACCCCCATCTGATGACATGGGAGTCTCAAAAGTGATAAGAGCTGATCAAAAGAAGTTTTTCTTTGACCTTGGCAGCAATAACAGGGGTCATTTTCTTAGGATATCCGAGGTGTGTACCGTAAATGTTTTTAATTGACAATTTAGACTAATGCCGGTTTCTGTCTTACATCCATTACTAATTTAGTATTAAAATTTTGCAAATTGCAGGTGACCGGTTCCGATCGCTCGTCCATCATCCTCCCACTTTCCGGGCTGAAGCAGTTCCATGAAATGCTGGGTCATTTCGTGGAGATCACTAAGGATAGAATTGAGGGGATGACTGGTGCAAATGTTCGAACAGTGGACCCTCCTCAAAGGTGAATGTTGTCTAGCTCAAGTTTGATTGGTGCCGTCATTGTGTGGTTTGATCGGAGGCATATGTGCTGTGCTCTGCCTAAGTGTTCTGCTTTATTTGTCTTTTGGATTTTTATACCTGAATAAGCTTTCATTTTTCTCTCATTTTTTTTTCCTTTTTTATTTTTCTTTAATTGGAGATGATTTTGTGGAAGTGAATAAGCTTGATTCTGGATGGAGGTGATGTATTATAATTGAACGAACAAGCAGATTTTTGTGTGGAAAGAATGGCTTCCACATTGAGTTACTTCCTTTGTGTTCTGCTGGAAATTTGAAAGGCAATTTCTGGGTAATCAGCCACAAGCAACGCTGTGTAATATTTTGGATAGATTATGTAAAACGGACCCCCCCAATAGAATTTTAATGCTTAAACTAAACTTCAGTTAACGATTGTCTCAATGCTCGTTAAAGATTATCAAAATGCTTGAATACAGCCTTTTTTTTTTTTTTTTTAAAAAAAAAAAAATCTTATTCTTATTATATAATCAACTGTCCTTATAATAAGTTTGATTCTTCAAAAAAATGTCAAATTGTTAACATGGGCGAGACAAAGATCTCATGATTCATCCGGTATATTTTTTTTCTCGATTAGTAAATAATTTTAGTTTTTCTTGTTTAGCTCGTTGGCCGCTGAGGGTGCGGTCGCCCGGCGATCGCGGCCGGCGTCGTCGATGATTTTGAATGTTTTTTTTAAATTTTTTAATAATTAAAATTATTTAAATATGTTTAAATATTTAAAAATAGAATTGAATTAATATTTTGATTTAGGTTAATTTAGATAAATTGTTGTTTAGTAGTTATTAATAATATGTTACTTATAAATAAAATATTATATATTAGTTAAATACAATTATATTAAAATTATGATGATAATACTTTTTTAATAATACTAATATTAATAGGATAATGCATCTAACTTTAGTATTTTCAAGAAACGATTTTTCCATTAGTTATAATGTGTAATAAAGAGGTTTGTTGAGTAATTATTAGTTAAAAAAAATTATAATTAGTATTCTAATATAAGTTAAAAAAATTGTATAAAATTAATAATTAATTAGTTTGTATATAATGGTGAAATAGACTTCACCCGAACTCCTTCAACTTGAACGCTCTCTGCACCTGCAAGAACCCAACGTCGGGAGGGATCCTGGCGTCGGGCCTCCGATGCTTAAGTCAGTGCTCTTAAGTCAGTGCTCGTAAATGAGAGAGAGAGTGTATGTAG